TTTTACTCTAATAACTTCATTTTCTCTGGGAATGAATTAGAACCCCTACAAAGAATATGAATTGGTTTAACATAATCTGATGACTTTAAAGCTTTTTGTTTCTTTTAGTTTGTCTTTTATTTTTGTTGTGTTCCATACTCACTAAGTAAAAATTTACAGCATCTCTATAGTCATATCTGGGTCAAAGAAATGAATCCAGAGGTCACATGCGCTGGTACATATCTATCCTTAGAATAAAAAATCATGAAGAGAAAAATGTTAAATCAAGAACATAAGGTTCTGATACAAATACCTACCCAAAGCAATTATCAAGGTCACAAGGCACATAAAATGCAGCAAACAGGAGGTTTGAAGTAGAAGCTGAAAAGAGCTTCTAGGATTAAGGCTGACAAGGATATTATCGATGGGATAGATAAATATAAGCAAAAGATACAGTACTGTAACTGTGGTTTAAAGTTAACTATTTTTTTAATTGAGAATTTTGTTTCCATTGTCTACTCATGAAGTTGAAGTGACATAAGAAGGATTTACTAAGGGGCGCCTGGGTGGCTCAGTCGTTAAGCATCTGCCTTCGGCTCAGGTCATGATCTCAGGGTCCTGGGATCGAGCCCCTCATGGGGCTCCCTGCTCTGCGGGAAGCCTGCTTCTCCCTCTCCCGCTCCCCCTGCTTGTGTTCCCTCTCTCGCTGTCTCACTCTCTGTCAAATAAATAAATAAAATCTTAAAAAAAAAAGAAGGATTTACTAAGTAAACAAAACACAACTGAAATGAAAAACAAAGATCTAAACATTGGACCAAAATAAATAAATAAATAAATAAAAACAAGAACTCAAGAAGGTATGTGGAGAATAATAGTCCATTTACAATAATAATTATTCTCCATTTTGTGTCAAGAATTATAAGAAATGATAGAAAATACTCATGTAATTATTTTAAAAATCCTACAGGATTGACATTATTATACCCATTTTACATGAGAAAGCTTAAAGCTAAAAACAGGTTAAGTAATTTGCCTAATGTAATATATCTATCAAGAGCCAATATTCTGTCAGAGGTCTGTCTGATTCTAAAATGCTATTGCCACTGTGGCATATAAATGTCAGTGAGACAGAGCAGTGACTACCTTGTGTTCTTGTACTATTAAAGGTAACAGTTATGGGTACTCTTCCTAGATGTCTGCTTCAGAAAATGTCATTAAGGATTATCTAGTACAGCACTGTGCTAACTAGTAAGCATTTTTGTGTTATAGTTCCAAAGTTAAAATTTGTTTAATTCACATATCAATAAGCATAAAAAAGTCACAAATGATTTATAATTTAAGTAGATACAATAAAGTCAAAACTAAAAGGAATTTATCTTTTTTCAATATAAAAAACCTTTTTTTCTTTTCCTTCATAAAACTATTGTTAGACACAAAGACACAGAAATCTGTCAGGTTCTCTCTGCAATTTCCTTAAAATGTATTCCCTTGCTGAGTAGCATCATAAACTCCATAAGCCGTATCTAGGCAGTCATAAAATAATCATGGAAATAATACTTGTTAAACGTAGGAAGCCTTAGGGGTGGATTTAAGTGCTATACAACAAATTAATTTTGTATTTTCTCCCTTGCTATTATAACAAGAGTGCAGGGAGCTTGGATGCATGTAAAACAACATATACATAAATCTTTCCCTTTCAGTAAGGAAAGAAAGCTTCGAGATATCTATCTATCTATCTATCTATCTATCTATCTATCTATCTATCTATCTATGCATGATTTTAAGAAAAATGAAGAGAAGTAGAAGTAATGTAGAATTCTGTGTGTGGGGTTGGGTGCTGTTCTGTCTTGTTACAGGTCAATTAGGGTCTGAAGTATCTATGTGAAGAAACAAACTGGAAATGGGTCCCCATATTATCAATGCTTCCTGATGAGCAATTAATGTTTTTTTTTTCTTCAACTTCCTTGGAAAATCTACAATTAAAGTAGATCATATGCGTAACTTGAGGATATTTCAGCAGAGATAGAGGAACAGAAACACTCTTCTACTTGAAACAGAGATTACAGAAAGAACTAGATCTACAGCACCTATTCAGAGGTTTCCTAATAGAAGTCCATCAGAATCCTCATTTTGAACTACAAGTAACATGTAGGCAGAGACCATATATTAGCAACTAAAGCACACATGCTTAGGATAAAAGTATGAAGTGCAGAAGAATCCTCTTGCTTAATTAAAAAACTCAATTATATGACTGCTTGGATTCTATTCCAAATTCTTCCAACTGTTAAATACTTGGAGAAACTATGAAAAAAAGGAAACACTGTGAATTATTGCTAATTATGTAAACGGATTAATTTATAAGAAAATAGCAAGTGAAAGAAAAAATATACAAGAGCCAAGGAAACATAAGAAAGATACAGTTTACCAGCAGCTATAACTTAGTTGATAAAATATATAAAACATTATAAAATTAAAAACATCTATAAGTGAAGAGAAGAAAAGGAAACATATATTTAACAATAATATTACATTTTCTCCTATTCTATTTTATCTACTTCCAAGAAATTTGTGCTCATTTTTTTCCAACACCAGATTAATAGTAGAATAAAGTAAAGAGAAAACAAAATAAATTTCTATGATCATAAAACTACTTTTTATGTACTCAAGCATATAACAGATCTTCTGGCACATCCTAATCTTTCTATTATATATTTACAGAAGCAAAATAATAAGACCTGAGAGGAAGTGAAGGGAGTAAATAATATCTAGTTGAATATTTCTCACTATAAGATTATGATAAATAAGTTCTGCTTGACAAACTTAATGCAACACTTAAAATTTAAAATTTAAAATAAACATATATTTTGGAATTGACATGTAGAGTCCCAAAATAAAAAGTTAGACATTTAATAACATCTCCATACAAGCTATTCCTAATTTTTACATATTTTAATAGAAGAGTTAGCTCTTTGTATTTTTTGATATATTTTATAAAATGAAACCCTATTAATCTATGTTGAATCATTAGAAGTCTTCAAATAAGTAATTTTTATAGATACTGCTAAGTGCCAGCACCCCCCATTAAATGTTACATAATTTTTTTCATTTTGCAGGATTCATAATGAAAACTGAAACAACTAAAAAATATTACCAAAAATAAAATAGCTACTACTCTACAAGAAGAGACCACATAAATGCAGCACTAGTTTTTGTTACTCTGTTAATTCTGTAAACTTCATAAAAAAGAAAAACAACTTTATTTTCCCTAATATCTTTAAAAATGTGGTAAATGCAATTTTAAGTATTAAGATTATGGGGTTCTGAGGAGTAACTATGAATTGCCTATTTCCAATAACTACAGTAATAAGCTTTAGATAAATTACTGAAGTAAATGAAGGTGAAATATACTTTTACTAGATTCTTGGTTTTCTGTCAAACCATCTAGGAAAATCCAAACATTTACAATGGTAACACCAGAAAAAGTCATCTCACAAAAGCATAAACTAAAACCCATACAATTGCCTACGTGGTATATTAAAAATAATCTCTATAGTCTAATAATGCAAGTTTATATATGGAATACCAAAATGGTTACTTTATTTTTTAGATGTCATAAATATGTGCACCTATTACTATGGTGACCTAAGGATAAAGGAATTATAAACAGCTTTTGCAAGAGTATTTATTTATCAATACTATACCTTTTCCAGAAATTATTTAAAGTGGCTTTGGCTTCAAAGGTCAATTATTCTGTGTCCTAAATTTATTAATAAACAGAAATTCAGTGTTCAGTTGACCTAAACTATACTGTAGAGCAACGCCTAATCAAGTTATCTAAATGACTTTAGAAACAAGACCTTTGCTCTCTATTTGGATAATATACTGATAAATTTCATGGCCTTATTGTGAGCACACTAGTATTTCTACATAACCCTGGCTAAAAAATATATTTAAATTATCGTCTCCATATACTGTTAATCACTGATTCCATTTATAGCCAAAAGTGTTCAGGGTCATTTTGACAACATGTAAATGGTTTTTCCTTTGTCAGATGTTCAATTTTACAATTATCTGGCCAATCAACTACTAATCATATGACTCTTTTACAAATGAAGTTTTGTTCCACATCAATGAAATAGCACTGACTCTTCAACTACTCCAAATAACACAGAAGCACTACAAGCTACCCATATTGCACACAGTACTAGCTCATCTCTTTAACGCTCAAACCTGTGTTCAATCGCTTCCTTCTTTAGGAGACTGCCAACTTTAACAATAGATTAAGCTATATAATATCAAGACACAATGGTGAGTACTCGCCACATATTCTGTACCACAGCAGATATATTAGGCCACTTCTTCACCGATTTTTGACAGTTTCTGAATCACAGCCCCAAACCACGAAGCTTGTGGCTATCCTTGGTGCTGAAACGCACTCCCTCTCACCCACCCCCCCGCGCCCCTTCACTGAAAAAACCGTCATCCCAATCCCTATTTAAGAGCATAAAAAGATTAATGAACTTGGGGGGTCTGAAGAGGGGGGGTTTAAAAAAGGAAATGATAAGTTTCTGGGCTGAGAGTGCTAAGTAGTGTGAGCGGGTGGAAAGAAGGGGTACTAAAAACACCCAGAGGGCATTTCCCCTTCGGTTCCGGTAGACCCTGGAAACCCGGACTGCGGCACCATCGGAAACGCCTCGTCCCGGGCAGGAGCGGCAGGCGGGAACGGCGTCCTCGCCCGGGCAGCGACTCCGCGCCGGGGCCAGGCGGGCGAGGACGCCGAGGGGCGCCGCTGCGGGAGACTCACGCGACTTTCCGCGCCAACGAGCGAGCCCTGGGGTCCTTTTGTTTCTAGCGTCTGAGGGGAGGGCGGATGAGCGGAGAGGAGCCCCACCTGTATTTATTTGTATGGGTGGACAACAAAAGACCCTGATGCCCGGGTGAGCAGGGTCGGCCGAGTCGGGGCGGCCGCGGCGCCTGGCCACGGGCTCGGCCCCTTTCCTCACAGCCCCCGTCGCTCTTACCGTCCCGGTCGCACAGCTGAATGGCCTCCAGGCTGAGGTTTTTGATCACCTCCTCACAGGGGCTGGTGGGGCTGTTGAGGGTATGATCCAGGCGCGGCACCTCCATTTTTCCAACTCCCTTCTCAAGCCCGCCTGCTTCGTATCCAGGCTCTCTCGGTGGACCGGGTGGGAGAGAAGGGCGGGAAAGGGCAGGGAGTGGCGGAAGGAGGGGAAAGAGGCCTGGGACGCGTCTCCGTGGGGCCGAGGCTAAGCCTCCGGGCTAGAGAGCCGCGGCCGAGGCGACGGCCGTGACAGGAGCTGCGGGGAGTGTGAGGCTCGGAGAGACCGAGAGGGACCCGGCGCGAGAGCGGGAGGCGCGCGCTCCCGGCGGGGAGGGGACGCGGCGCGCGGGGATCGTGAGGGAGAAGGCGCGGCGCGCGCACGCGCGCGAGAGGACGCGCCCACCTGCTGGCGCGCGGCGCTCCTCCCTCCCAGCCCTTCCACGCGCACGCGCCCCCTGCTGCCCTGGCGACTCAGCCCCCGCTACCCCCGCGCGGAGTGTTGTAAGGCATGAGCGCCCGGAAGGCGGCGGGCGGTTGGGCGTGTGGCGCGCTGGCCTCGCCTTCTCTTCTGGTGAGGGTGGTTTGGCGTCCTTTCCCTCGTCATAGGGTCAGTCGGACCCAGGTTGGCACTGGGGAGTCTGCACGGGGAGGTGAGAAGAAGCAGATTGGTTTTTATGAAGGACTGGAAAAATATGGGTCCAGATCCTTTGGATCCTTGTTTCGGAGCCCCCGGGCTGCCTTACCCCTCAAGGTCTCGAGCTACTCCCCTCCAGGCCCCTGTTTGCTCAGCCAGGCATTCCTCGGGAACAGCTGCGTCCCTGTGAGAGAGGAGTGGATTAACTGAGAAGTGGCAGGGTTTACGGACAGAATTTTGGTCAACCCGAAGGAGGGGCAAACATGGGAATTCAGAACTGCCAGAAAGGTGAGGGAATGAGGAGATGCCAGTCAGCCTGCTGGAAACGCAGCGCGTGGGCTTCGGGGCTGACAGCCACTAATCTTTCAGCCTTCGCAGTCTAGCTTGCTTGCTTGCTTGCTTGCTTGCTTGCTTCATTCATTCATTCATTCATTCATTCAACAAATAAGTATTAAATGTTTATTCCGTGCGGGGCATTGTTCTAGGCGCCAGTGAAAGGCGGGAAAAAAACAGTACCTGACCTCAGGGATATGGAAACATCCTTTTCTAATGGAAAATCTTCCTCAACTTACCTTAAATTTGTCTGCCCATTCTTCTTAATGGCATTTAGTATTCTACAATGCACTTAGTGGAGGTGAAAATGTTTTTAAAATAAAGTAGATATAGGTCACAGCCTATTGACCTCTCTTGCCATTTGCTTCTTTGGAATAGTTTTTAGTCGTGTTGCTATCTTAGAATCAAAATAGTGCCTGCCCCACTCTCTTCTTTTTTTAGTGTATATGCTTGTTGGAAATTAAAGTTCCTTTTTATGTATTTTCCAATTTCAAACATAAATGTTATCCAATAAAGTAACAATTTACATACAGATTGCTATATGCTATCCTTTCCAGTCACATCCTTCTAGCCATAACATGACTAAATCTAGTTAATTGAAGCCTCATAAAACAGAAGGACCAGCTTAAGGTAAAATAAGCCTGTGAGAAAACTTGGCACAACTGCAAGTTGATAGAAATTAGTGGAAGATAATTGGGTATCTTAAAGTGAAATGTCCTCATTATCAACTTGGGTATTAATGAAGATGGATCTCCTTCTTGTAGTTTAAGAGAATTCTTGTGTCAAGGTAGGGGTGTCCCCAAGGAGATGATAAATTATTACTTGTCAAGAAATATGAAAAGATGGCACTTATTGGTGAATTTCCTGTGTTCTAAAACCTGGTTCTGGAGGAATAGAAATTGATACTGTCAGCTGAGCCACAGTGGGTTCACATTTACAAATTTCAAAAGGAACTGTGTAAACTAGATTACCAATTTATTGATTTACAGGTGAGAAATATAAACATATATATAATTAAAGCTATAATTCACACAAATATTTGTTAAACACCTGCTATATCCATGGACAATATGCTAGATGTTGGAAATTTTGAGTTCAAATCTATTAAGAAACACAGACATTGAAAAAGGAAAATTATAATGAGTGTTATGAAAGAGGAATCATGGGAACTTGTGAAGCACATGCAGGGGTCCTAACCTTGTCTGGTTAGTAAGGAAAACCTTTAAAAAGATTATTTAAAAGGAACAGGAAATTATGAAAGGCTCTAAGTGGGAAGTTAGCATGATCAGATTCGTAGGCCAGAATATCTGTATAATGGGAAAAAGGGATAATGTTTTAAGAAATATTAATGTGCATTTGGGTATAAGACCTATTCAACCCAAGGCATCTTTCTGCTAAGGATTTAGATTATTACATAAGAAATACAAAAGAAAGAGTTAATATTTCACTTTTGACATTCAGCATAGGATTTTTTTTTTTTAGCAAATTGTTAGGCTTCAAATCAAGGCATTGTAGAAAGATAAAATATAGATATGTTTATGGTTTAACATACCAAAGCTAGGCCTAGTGGTCAAAACAATACAGTTTATCCCAGAGTGAAGACAAGATATCCCAGTCCATGATAAAGGCTTAGGCCAGAGATTGGTATAAGGAAGATGGTGGCTATGAGGTAGGTAAACTAGAGAAAATTCTATTCTTTTTGGTTCAGAGAATGATGGAAAAGAGGTAGAAGTGCTAGAGGATGGCAACCAGCAATATTTTTACTCACTCGTACATTGAGGATGTGAGATGAGGGATTGTGGCTCTAGAAATACCCAGATAGGTATGGGAAAACTCAAGGACAGAGAAATTTCTGCCCTAGTTCTTAGATCTTTGGGATGATATCACCTGGCCAGGTTCAAGTAACCTTGAACAAAACATCTAGTTAGGCAGAGGAAGGGCAGGAATTTACTTTCCAAAACTGCTAAAAGTTCCTGTATACTCAGAAGGTGGTTGAGTTGAGATCTAGTCAACCTGCTGTGAAGCCTGATTTTAAAATGCAAGGTAATACTCTAGCAAAAACTGCAGAATGGAGCTTCTAGACTAGGGATGTCTAAAGTATTAAAAAAGATGAGACTTGTCAGTCTTAGAGATGGCTACCAGGCCCTCACCAAACTGAAAAAATACAGACCATGAGTTTCTCTAGCCACCAACTTCAAGTGAAAGGTCAGAAGCAATTAGGCATGCAAGGGATGTCACCCCAGAGACCAGAGGAGGCAAAACACATTACTCAAATCCTGTGACCCTTTGTCCCAGTGCTTCAGGGTAATGGAAACTCTCCTGTACTGATATCCCCAAATACCATCTGAAATAAGGTAAAAACCTGAAATAATGAGGATCTTACCTAAAAAGATGGACTTTACTCTAAAGGGATAAATAAAATACTGATTAAAAACTGATTGAATCTAGGTTCCTGGATTACACTAAAAATACATTATTTACCTTCCCCTTTATATTAGTGAATGAGATTTCATGAAGATGACCAAATAAATTTTAAGATAAAATGAAAATTCTGCCTTTTCATATCTAAGTTGTAGTGTGAGTAATTGCAATCCTCACACACTTACATCATTTGTTAGCTTTAGATCGACACTATTACAGCCAAAATCCTACCATTCAAGGTCCAACTCAAATGGTACATACTCTATAAAGATTATTCCTTATGCCAAAAATCTCTTTTTGTTTTATTTCCATGGGGCTTTATTTGTATTATCTACAGACATAATCACACTCTGATTTGCAAATTATTAGTATATATGAAGAATCAGACTTTGAAAAGGACCTTAAATATGTCAATGCAATCCTGCACCCAATGTTGAAGCCCCTGACAAGAAGTTGTCTATCTTTTAATATAGAGTAAATTAAAATCCTCATGAAATAATCTTACTCATTCTGAACCCAAATATGCCTCCTATGAGGTCAATACAAGGGCCTTCATTTTCTCCTCTGTTAGTCATACATAATAATGATAATCCTTCTGCTGCTGCCCAGGCATATTCAATTTTCTGGCTAAATACTCCTAGTTCTTCCAAATATTTCTGATATTACATTCCTTTGAGTCCCTCTACCACTTTGGACACTCTCTTCTGGATAGATCTAATGTTTTCTAAGAGTCCATCGGTGAACACACCTATGATGTGGAGAGATATTAAGAATATAAAGGGAAACAAGCAGTCTATCACCATCTTTGCTCTATATGCCAGACATCTTATATCACAGCCCAGGAGCACATTAGCTTTCCTGACAGAGATATCAATCTGCTTACACATCTTGAGCTTGCTATCATGTAAAACCTATACTTCTTCCCTGAACAGTTCTTATTTCCCCTGTGATGTAAATTTTAAGCACATACTATAGTATTTGCACAGAGAAGATAGTACAATTTGTTGAATTGTTTGATTGAACTTCAGTACTTTGAATGTGTTTAATTATATTGCTGCAACTGCCTAGAATTTTATCGGAGCCAAAGAAAAACTAGGTTACAAAGTCCTTTCAGTGAGCTTGTAAGTGCAGAGGTCATTCTTATAGAACCCACAGTCTTAGGTACAACCCAGGTTTTTATGGCTAGGCAGAAGGCAAAGAGCGAGAACCAAAACCATAGGTAGAAGCAAACTCAAAAAAAAAAATGCTTAGTAAATGAAGGAGTGTTTTGTTTTGTTTTGTTTTCCCTCTCTAATGGTAATAACATTACCATGACTTTTCCTAAGCCCTTATCAATGGTAGGGGAAAATAAAACTCATGATTGACAAAGCAGAAAGCAACTCAAATAATCTGAATTCTTTATCCTGACTCAAGTTGACTTGTGAAAATCAAATGACATAATACATAGACAAGTGTTGTATGAACTATAAGGCATCTTATAGAGTTAGAACTTTGTGTTATTATGGAACACTAAGAACACCATTAAGAAAACATATCTGATCAATTTTACAGTACAAATTTCTGGAAATATTTTAATAGCTATTTAAAAACATTAAGAAAAAATTAAAAAAATAAAAATATTAAGAACTTCCATATTTAGAATAGCTTTATGGTTTAGTGTATGAGGTCCTTATAAATTTTGTCACATTATGTTTGCTTTTGGTTCTATCTCATGATAGATTTTTGCCAAGCCCATAAGCAAATATTCAATTTTGAATCTCTCCCGAGTATTTGATTTCTACATCTCTAGTTCTATATCACCAAACACTGGTGAGAGGTGGTGGAGATCTATGATGACTTGGTCCAAAATTTATGCTATTAAAGTTAAACTTGCT